AGTCACGTTCCAGAGGCAGCGGAGATGCACCTGAGATCTTTGGCCCTGCTCTGGCCACCCCCAGAAGCTGGCCGATCTACGCATGGCAGAAGCTTGGGGATCAACCACCTAGACTGTCCAGATGTATTGTTATCATCCTTTAGCCCTAACCCCTAGTTATACTTGTCCTGCTGCTTGCTTCAGGGTTGGCCTCAGTAGCACCTGCAGATTGGACCCTGAGTCAAAGAGTCACTTTAGCCCTGACCTATTTAACCTATGTCGGGATCCTCTCGATTCTTGCTTGTTCAGGCAAAACCCCTCTTCAATACATCTATAATCAAGAGGTTGAAGCCTTATAAGAATTTAAAGGGCATGGAAAGGGGGCATTGAAGAAGAATTTTCCACTCAAATGGCTAACCTTGTAATCAGCTCTTTGTTCTGCTTCTGTAGACATGCTTGCTGCATAGGCCGAAAGGCGGAGTGACCTTGAGATCAACTGAAGACTCACCCTCCCCTTTGCTTGTTCTGTCTAGATAACAGATGTATCCCCTTTGCTTGTTCTGTCCAGGTAACAGATGTAACCCCTTTCCTTGTTCTGTCTAGATAAAACATGTATCCCCTTTGCTTGTTCTGTCTAGATAACTGATGCATTACCCTATAAAAGCAAAGTTACCCCTGAGCTCGGGGCCCAGATCTTCAGAGCACTAACTCTTCTGGGATGGCCGGCATATTAACCTGAGTTCTCCAACTCTCTGAGTGGTGCTTGGTATCTTGCCAGTCTGATTTTTCTACATTTCAATTCCATTCCTACTCCCAGATCATGTCCCTTGACTTCATAATCAGGAGAAAATTCTTTGTCACTTTGTGTAATGACTCCACTAGCATCCCTTGAACCTTGACTCAGTAGTAAGAGAAGCATAGCTTAAAGAAATTTCAGAGGATACGATTGTTCCCAAATGACAGTACCCAAATGCGAAGTATCTGTTTGAGTAGAATCGGGAGGTATTAAGGGCATCTGAACTGTAACTGAACAAGTTCATCAGGAAGTGTGCGCCAGTTGCTCAGTTCGCAGGGATCTCATTTTCAAATTTCTACCTCAGGTTATAGACTTGATCTTTATATAACTTCTGATGGGTTAAAGGGCTCTAATTTGCATACTAAATAATTTTTCTGATTTGCCTTTCTTTGTTTCTCCACCACTTGTAGGGGATCATAGAGGAGCAAGAATACAAAGACTTTGTTTGGATTCACCTGGCTCTGTGTTTGTGATTGCCTACCACCTTACAAATATGATGACTGCTGCCACTATCTGATGCTCTTTCTTTTTTTCTTTTCATTTCACTTCTTTCTTTTCTTCTTATCTCTTTCGTCTTTTCTTTTCTTTTTTATTTTTTTACTGTAACTTTACCGTTTTGTTTTTGTTTTTCATTTATACTTTTGGATGCAAAAGTTTATGATTTGGTTCCATATTGTTGCCTTTCTCTAAAAATCTCTACAGCCATGTCCTCTTTCATATCTCAGAGTTAGTCAGTATTCAAAAGTGCAGGACTGAGCTGCAGGCTGGATGGCTGGCGGGGCGAGGGGAGTGAGCTTCAGCTGCCCGAGACCTCTCACGGGTCCCTCAGCACAAGGCAATCTTATACCCCGAGGTGTGAGAAGTGGTCCCCAGTGCCACTGGATGAGCTTTGAGGGATCACAGTGCAGAACCTGCTAAAAGTCACCAAGGTTTTCTAGCATCACCAACTAAAGCATGTGCAGATGTGGTCAAGCCTCCACCCTCCGGCCAGCTGATTCCTCTACGATAGATATCAAGGTCCCTGTGATGTCCAGTCCTGCATAGAAACACAGTGAAAACTGGGAGCCCTTCCCATGCTTCTACACCCTTTCCTTGGGAACAAATCCGGAGCTCATCTGTGCCCCTGTTGAGGCGGTTCTACGTCTGATTCCATGAGAAGGATAAACCCGGACTCATGTTTGCTCAAAGGCAACAGCACACATTTAGAAACAGGAAGGAGATGAAAGTCAGCAGCAGCTTGAAGACTTGGAAGGAGTACAGAGATGTTTATTGTGTGGACTGGAACAGGCAGGCCCTCAGGAGATAGAAGGATTCCAATGGGCAGCACAGAGTCAGCTGTTTCTCCAGATCATTCCTATTCAGATGGGGAGGAGATCCAAGTGGATTCTCTGAGCATAGAGTTATCCCACCAAGACGTGGCCAATAACGGTGTCCCTGGAGCCGTGACTCTGATACCACAGCACCTGCTGAGTGTTGGAAGGAACAAGGGTTTCTCCAGTGCCAGCTGCAAACTTCTGTTTCCATTGGCAGAAAAATCTACTCCCTCATAACTATTTCAAAGGAAGGGTGTCTACTTTCCTTAGCACTTAAAGCCAGTCATTAATGACTTATACCACACCCCTGCTGCCATATAAAACAGCAGACAACAGTCCTTTGGCATTTGAAGTGGAACTCAAAACCCTTTACCACCACACCGTCCCCGATCTTCTGATTTCATGCCATGGCCTCTCCATGGATCATAAATACCAGGTCTATTTCAACCCTTCACTTCTTTTAACAAACCCTTCCAGACAAGTCATTCTCTGAAATCTCCTGAAGGTTTTGACCTTGGATTTTAGTACCTTCGGAATAATTCATCCTTCCAAATTTGTGTTTCTTTCCCAACAGTCCAAATGGAGTTCTTGAAAAGATTGCATTAATAGCTTCAAAGATCTTAGGACAGTATCTGGTCCATGGTTAGCATGCAATAAATTTTGGTGTTTTTAAAAATATCATCATCAGTATTTTGCAGGTTAAGAGCAGATTGTTTTCTTAATACCCTCTCTTTAATTCTAGTTGTCTCCAGGCAATCTTTAAATTGCCTGAGTGGATTTCTTAACTAGATAGACTGCAGGCATAGGTTATTATCCACAATCCTGCCAGAGACGGTTGTTAGTGTTCTGGCACCTGGGTTCGGGTTGCCAGTCTTGAGAATTGGTTGATGTAACTCTTCCCTTTTCTTCTCAGATCTGATTTCTTGTGGATAAAATGAAAGAGGAATGGAGTGGCTGGACTTGCAAAGCAGAAAGCTGGTCATTGAACAGAATGTAGTCTTCTTTGAGCCTCTGGCAGGGGCAGCCATTTCCCGATTTTGTGTAATTCCATGCTGGCTTTCATCCTTACACTCTGCCACAGCACCAGGTTCCCCATCTTTGCTTTGCTAAATTTTGCTAACTTAGACTTTGTCATTTACCCAGCGGAAGTTATTCCTTCTTTCACTTTTCTGACATTCAGAATTACATTTGTTTTATTTCTTGTCCACAAAAACTGTCCAGTTTTGCTCTCTAGAAAAGTTGAAATGTGAAATAAAAAAATATGAAGTCTTGAAAGTTAGAGAAAAAAATGGTGAAGCCCCTTTGCAATTCTGTTACTTCCCCTTGTTTGCATTAACCTCAGGATGAAACAGAAAGTAATGCCAGATGAGCAAAAGAGTCTATGCCCTGTGAACCACTATGGAAAAATAAGTTATTAAGGATCTTGTTATTGCATTTATTTAAATTTAAAACGAAATTGCACAAATAAGTAAAAACGAATGCTATTTCTTTTGGACATAATAGCTTGAGCCTCAGTACCCTGCAGTTTGAGCATGATACAGAGGACAAACAAAGCTGCTTAATAGAAATACCAGACTGAAAGAGCAAGTGAAGTTCACTAGTTTCTGTCCTCTAAGTTTCAACAGAGAGATGTCATCATTGAATCTCCTGTGCTCAGCTCAGAAAGTTTGAGCATAACAAATGTTCAAAAATTTAGGTAACGAGTCTTACAATAAAAGCTGTATAGGCAAAATGAAAATTATCTGCCTATTAAAGGTAAAATTATTTCAATTAGGTAACTAATTCCCCCGCCTATAGACATGATTAACTTTGCTTTCAGCATTTTGACACTTTGATACCTGGAGTCATGGGTCAGGAGAGGAGGAGGTCACCATTGACAACTAGGGTCCTTTACACAAACACTCCAGGAGGAAGGGCAAGGATGCTGCAAGGTTATTATTTTGTTGACAATGACACAAACCCTCCACAGCAGGAGAATTCTAGAGTCCTCAGAATGTGGTCTGCCTGCCCTCAGGGAGTAAGTCCAGTAGAGTTTGGGTTGACACTTTGTCACTCCAGAGAAAAAGTGTTACTAGAAGTAGTATTTCCCTCTTGAGTCTGGGAAAATAACATAATCTTGGGATTATAATCTCCACATTTACATGCACCAGAAAAGATACAGGATTCCTGC